TATTATTAGTGATAGATTAGGAAATTGGAGAAGAAAAATGCCTCTTACTGGGTTAGGAAAACTAAATTCAAATGAGGGAATATTCACTTGTTCCACCTGAAGAAAACTCAACTACTCTCAATGTTCTATTATAGCGGAAAACAACTTACTTCTAGTGCTAATCTCAATATCCTATTATAGCAATATATTCTCTTAACTTATATAAATATTGATTCCAACAGGTCCAAAATATACAAATTTGGTCTGGTACAGATCTGAGCAATTTTTGGCAGATAGAAACCAAAAAACAATGTCAAAAACAACACTTTAAAATAATCAGGTACAACCTATACTTTCATACAAAATAAGGAGGCAAAAAAATTAATTGTCATTTTTATATTCAGGACATTATCTTCAAAAGCAATATGAGTTATGTTATTAACTTGTTCCTTTTTGCTTTTGTTGTATAAAATAGAATCAAAAAAGAAAAATGGACTTCATTGACACAAGAAGTTTAAGTTTTAAACATACTTTTGGGAACCCTTCCAGAAAGTTCAAAAAAATCGTAGGCATTATTTAACACTGTAGGGTTTGCATTAAAGTTTTAATTTAAGAAGAGTGTTTATCAGATATAAAAAAGAAAACAAGTCAGAAATAAACTTAGGATGTTATATCATCTAGTCAGTCCCATACATCTTCAAAGACTTCTAGGATAAGATAAAGTTATTGCAGATCACAAAGACAAAGAAACAGAAACAACAGCAGTTTTGTGAAACTACTTTTAAGTCACAGACTTAGTTTTGTCTGGTCATGTAATAAAACCTTAATTCCTTCTGATATCTTAGGGTGTATATGAGCATTTGCACATTAACTTTTAAATGTAAAGGCCTAGTAAATTTTAGCTAAAACTTTAAATCTCAGACCCCAATGTTTTGCTGTCACATTGTCAACTTCTTCCTCTGCATTCTTCTACTAGGAGTGCAGAGGTATAGCTAAAGTAATACTGATCATATAAGCAGCCACACCCCAAGTGAGTTGCTACATACTTAAAAAGGTACAGCTAGAACCCTGGTTTTGTGGAGACTACTCCCGCACCAGAATAGCCATACTCTGTCCCTTTGTCTTCAAGTTATTTTAGAATTGTAAGCAACAGACTGGTAGGATTTTGAATTACAAAGCTGTAAGATGTTTTGACTTCGAAATTGAGACTCAGATGTTGTTTTTAGTCCTAGAAGACCTATACTGATCGCCATTCTAATAAGAATAAACACAGAAAGTGATATTATCCATCAATTAACAAATATTTAGTAAGTTTTTTTGTAAACCTACTACTATGTGCCAGACACTGTGCTGGACACTGAGGATAAAAAAAGAAAGAAAGAAAGAAAGAAAGAGAGAAAGAGAGAAAGAAACAATGTCTACCTTTAAGGAGCCTACATGACTGATCTTTGGGAGCCAGAGTGGAGAAACATGTAAATGTATAAGTATATACAGAAAAATGCAGGGACAAGAGGGAGCATAATCAGGAAAGGCTCTATGTAGAACAGGGGCTCCTAACTTTTTCTGAGTCATGGATTCCTTTTGCACTTTGATAAAGCTTATGGACCCCTTCACAGAATAAAGTTTTCAAATGCATAAATCAAAATACACCGATAGGATTATAAAAGAAATTTATGTGAATGGAAATAGTTATCAGAATATTAAAAACACAAATTCATAGACTGTGAACTTAAGAATCCCTGTGTACACTGTAGAAGGTGGTGTTTGAGCGATTTCCTAAAGAAAACAAGGGATTATTTGAAGTAGAGGTGAGAGGAGGGATTTGTGGAGTAAGGATAGGAAGGAAGGAGCACATTCTGATAATCCGATTTGAGCTAGAAGAATCCTGCACTGCACTGAAGTGATAAATTGGTGTTGTCATGAGCTCCCCATGTATGTGAGCTACTTGGATTTACCTATTCAGAAACGACAAGCTTTGGAAGTGGGAGAGGTAGGAATGGGCCCAGTTTTCTAATCTCCCCAGAAGCAGAGACACTCTCACCTATACCATGAGCTTGGCCCTGCCTCTCAGGTTGCCTCCTAGCACAATAAAGGAAGCTCTTTTTTGCAAAGATGCTCAGGGAATTCTCAGGGATAAATATTGTTAGAACTGAAAAGATTAGCTAATAGAAAAGAATCCCTGCAATATAAGAACAGGTAAGTAGGGGAGGGGAATCTTCCAGAGGATTCAGAGGTACATAGAGGATGACCAGTGTATCAGCACACAGACAAGTGGATGGAGTGTTGTGTTTGAGGATCAGAGAAGGCCACTCGTGTAAAATATGAGAAGAAAAATAATGTATAATAGTCTGAAAATAAAGATTAGAGTCAGATTGTGAAGGACATTAAAAGCCAGAGAGGTGTATATTTTATCCTAGTGGCACTAATCACTGTAGTTCAATAGCAGAATGACATAGTCAGATCTGTACTTTTGGAAAATCATTTTGACTAGCTCAATGATGATGAATTGGAGATGGGAGAAACGAGGCAGGGAGAAAAATTAGAAAGTCATTGTAAATAGTCCAAGCAAGGGCTTGAGGACCTGAAATAAGGGGGTAGCCAAGTGCGTGAGGAATGGTAAGAAATGTTATGGAATTAGCAATGACAAGATTTGGGGTGAGAGAATGAGAAGTTGAGGGTAATGCCAATGGAAAAATAGTGGTATCCTCAAAAGAAATAGGGAAGTTTGGTAGAGGCTAGATTTAGTGGAAAATATTAGTTCTGTTTTTGGCAGTTGAGTTTGAGATGGCAGTTGATGATGTGGGACTTGAACTCAGGAGGGAGACTAAGAACTATATTTATGTAGGTCTGTGAGTCATCTGCATACATAAGAAAAAAAGGCCCACGGGAGCTGATAAAATCACTGAGAGAGTATGTAGAGAAAAGACAACGTGGCCCAGAATAGAACCTTGTGCTACACTCACAGTTAAAGGGCATGATAGAGACAGTGCATCTGCAATAGAGACTGAGGAGCAGTCAGGTAAGATGATACAATTTATCAATTCAGCAAACATTTTTATGTGCAAAGTACTGTGCTGGTAATTCCAGGATCAAACAAGATACCAATTCTTTCTCTAAGGAGTCCACAATCTATTAACAGTCTCACAAGAGATGACTATCGTAGCAATAAATTATTATAATGTACTGATTAGCTAATACGTATTGCTTTAATTTATCCTCAAAACAGTCCCAGGTGGTAGGGAGTACAGATGGCACTAGTCTGTTTTAAGAACGGAGCCACACAGGCGGATGAAAGTTAACTGATCGTAGGATCAATAATAGATCTGGAATGCTTTCATTTGAAGCAGTAGAATTCTTTGTAATAATATTGAAATGCTGATTCCCTAATTTTCCCAGTCACTACTTTCAGACCTCGGTGGGCTTAAACTGGGAGAAGTAGCCTAGAACCTGTCCTGAGTGCCAAATGTCAGGGAGTCAGGTTTGGTTTGGCTGGCTATTTCATGAATTTTAATAATAATATAAATGGGAATGGGACTTAAAGTCCTTCAGGTGAAACCTATGAAATAGTTAAGGTACAAGAATGAGCAACACCCACTGGAACCTAGCCTATAACATTAGAAGTATCAAGGAAATGGCTGAGTCATGAGGATTTATGGAAAACATGGATTTATGATGGTAATTCAGAACCACATCGTTGCCACCAGAAATTAAAAATGGTTATCCTTAACAAGTTCGGATTTAGTGATTAATGTAGATTGTACAAGAAAATAGTAGAAAGTGAAACACATCAAAAGCTCACTATCTTTCATGCACTGACAGATAACAGTCTCCATTCTTCAGACACAAAACTGAATAAATCTTGGAGAACTCAACAGATAAATTTCTACCTCATTTTCACAGACTGAATCACCCAAAGATAGCATTTATCATAAAAATTTAAGCTCATTTTCAAAAGCTGTGCAAATGCCAAATACTTACAATCCCCAAGCTACTAGGAACAAAAGACTTTCACGATATACAGATCTAGCAAAGTAGATAAAAATCACGTGGGAACAAAGTGAGGTGCGGGTCATTCCCTGATGTCCTATTTTTACTAAGGATGCATTCAGCAGCCTTACAGAGATTGCTTTCTAATTCTTTCATTGGACTATAGAAAGTAGTTATTTTATCTACCTCTGCAGTAGAATATTAAATATAAAAGAATAATTGCAGAGTTACTTTTCCAAGACCCTTTGTATCTGAACTCCATTGAAAAAGATGAGAATTAGTTTAATAATAATTACAATAATAATAACAATGAGTTTAATAATAGTAATGAGTTTAATGATAACAATCACAATAATAACTAACATTTGTCCATAGTCAATAAACATTTATTAAGCACCTACTATGTGGCAGGCTCTGTGCTAAGAACTGAGTATACAAATAAGAAAAAGTAAATCCATGCCCTTAAGCAGTTTGCAGTTTACAGTTTAATGGGGGAGGGGCTAGGGTGGGGAGGAAGTTGAACAGAAGGAGGCTGAAAAGGGGTAGCTTTGCAGGGGCATAATGTTCTTGGAAACTAAGTATAGTTGCTGATGAAGAGTGAAGAGCTCTTTATAAAGGAAGACTATAAAGGAAAGCTTCTTGTCCCTCCAGTCAGAGTGAAAAGGCATCTGAGGGTCCTGAGATGTTTACTATCAAAGCTGAGTCAGTCTGAGGAAGCCTTAATTTGTAAATTGCTTAAAAATTTTCAAATTGTTTTATATATATGTCATTTGTTCCTCACAACAACTCCATGAAGTCGGTAGTCTAGGTATTGCTATAACCATCTTACAGATGAGGAAACTGAGGTTCAGAGAGGTAAAATAATTTATTTGCCTGTAATAGCTCAGTCAGTATAGGTTAGAGGCAGATGTTGAAATTAGCTTTTCCTGACTCCAAGTCTAGCGTACTATCCAGGATTATACCATGTTTCTTCAGTAACCCTAGTTATTGAAACACAAGGTTCTCTGCTCTGAATTCTTCTACTTGCATTTCAGAATGAAGAGCCGAACTCTGACAATAAGAAGATGCCACTGCTAGCTGAACTAGAAGAAGATGGTGAGTAGTACAAAGTGGAAATGACTTCCTATGATAACAGGATTTAGAGCCAGAAGGAATCTTAGCAATTGTCTTGGTCAATCTCCTTTTGACAGATAAGGAAACTGAGGGGTCAAGAGGTTACATGACTTGCCCAAGATCACACACACAGAAAAAAAAATCAGGGTTGAGATTTGAATCCAGATCCACTGATTCCAAGGGTAGCTAGGTGGTGAAGTGGGTAGAATGCCAGGCCTGGAGTCAGGAAGACTCATCTTTATGAGTTTAAATCTAGCCTCAGACACTTACTAGCTCTGTGACCCTGGACAAGTCAGTTAACTCAGTTTGCCTGTTTCCTATAAAATGAGCTGGAGAAGGAAATGGCAAACCCCTCCAGTGTCTTTGCTAAGAAAACCCCAAATGGGGTTATGAAGAGTCAGAAACAACTGAACAACCACCACCACTGATTCCAAACCCAATACTCTTTGCTCTTCACCAAGAAGTTACCTACAATTTTAACCTAAAAAAAAGCAAAACAAAACTACAAAGTCATACAGCTCTGCTCTTCTACTCCTTGCCTTGGGAAACTCGTTGGAATAGAAACAATCCACAAGCATTGAGTAAGCACCTGCTATGTGCTGGTAATACAAAGACAATTAATGAAACAGCTCTTCCTCTCAAGGACAGTACATTCTTTAGGGGTTGCAAAATTCAGCACAGGAGTATTTATTTACTCCACTGTAGAGGCTGTGGCAGCTGCTGACATTTGAGGTGTTATTGCTTTAAGTAGGGGGAGCTGGGGGAGTGTGGATTGGATAGGAATCAAAGAGAAGGGCCAAGAAATACAGTTCTACCATAAGCTTCAGAATACTGAGGCAAAGCATTTGCTTAACCAGCATGCTATATATTGGTAATTCACTTCATCCTCCTGCTTTTCCTTGTCATGCAACAGCATCCACCTCCCCGGTACTCTTTCCCTCCATTTTTACTGATCTGTAATATGAGTACTTGTCCCAGGATGGAGTCTCTATAGAAAGTTAAAGATCAGCTCTCCTAACTTCACCTTCTTTGCTCAATCCCTGTAGTCCTACAATCTGTTCGCCATACAGCTGTTGATATAGCAGTCATTACCCTACTCAACAAATATCAGTGGCTATTACCTTTGGGATCAAATATATAAACTCTTCTGTCTGACTTTTAAAGCCCTTCACAACCTGGCCCCAACTTATCTTTCTAGCTTTATTACATATTACTCTCCCTCTCAGGGACATAACAGTCTGGCCTTATTATTATTTCATCTTCCATCTCCTTACCTTTGCACTGGCTGTTTGAATCCTCACCCTTTATTTTAGAATTAGCCTTTTACATGAAGCCTTTTCTGATCCACTCAGCTCATAGAGCAGGCCTACACAACATATGGCCCACGGGTTGCTTGAGATCCGCCAAAGGATTTCTGGGGCCTGAGGAAAAATGTAGGGTTGCCACTGTGCACTATCTCCTTTTGTCACGTGACCCGTGGCAACCAACCATCATCAGTCTGTCTCTAGTCTAACCTATCTGTCCCTCAAAGTTTAGCCTATTTTAATTTTGGCCCCTACCTACTGCCCAGTTGTGCAGGTCTATCATAGAACCTCACTTAAATCCAATTCACATGCAAGCCAAGACATCACCCTCATGATGTCATTGGTCCCCTTCCAGCTTGAAGGACAAACCACAGTGCCTTACCCCCAAATTATCTTATATTTATTTTCTTTATACCTGTGTATGTATATCTTGTATCTCTCCCCATCCCTCTCCCCCATTGTAGTCCCTTCAAAACAGGATCTTTCACTTCTGTATTTGTATTTCCCAGGCACTGTGCCTGGCACATACCAGGTGCTTAATGCTTGCCTGCTAACTGATTTCCCTTTGTTTTGTGAATTTAAGATTTCCCCTCTATGAATGTTTCTTGGATAATCTTTTTAAAACTACTCCTCATGGTTGTTTTAGAACTTAAGACCCCAAGGGAGGAAATTCCTCATTTCTGAGTAGTTTCTCAATCTTCTCTTTAGCCTGTGGGTCTTAACTCTTAGGAGAAGAATCAAGGGAGAGGCAAAGAAAAACCATAAAACTCAGACCTAACATTAGTGAAAGGCAATCTGGCTACACTGAGTTGTTGATAGGAGCTATGAATTCAAGCCTCTTTCCTTAATTCAAAGCCATAGAAATAATGTTGCTGTAACTTTAAATTTTCAGCTGGCAGCAGCAATGGAAATAGAAGGCTTTAGGAATGCAATAACTGAGGCATCTGTGTTCAGTGCAGAGCTAGGATAACACAATCCTTCCCGGGGGTCTAGGGCAAGGCTGTTACTTTCTATAAATATAAACCACTGAAGAAAGCCTAGGAGTTTTGCAGGTTGAGTGGTTACAAGAGGAAGTAAGGAAGGTACTTGGGCACTCCCAGTGGAGAATGCTTGCTTTCAGAGTTGTTCATTTTCCCTGCTGGGCCTGTGAGCTAAGGGAACATTCAAGGTCTGTGGTCTCTGGAGTTTGTTACTTCTCTATAAACAAAGGCTGCTGGAAGGGAAATGTCAGGATACTGTTCAGTGCCTTGAGGGATTGGAAAAGGAAATAAAGCAAATATTTGATAGGGATCACCAGAGAGATGATGGGGGAAAAAATCTCTGCAGGTCATTCTTAATCAGTCCCCCTTGACTTGTTGGGATGTATATAGTTGGAACAGGTTCTTTAGAGTCAATTGTTAAATTTTCACTGTGACCATTTATACTCCAGAAATCAATAGACTACAAATCAGGGTTAGTTTTGTCAATTGTCTAGACTTAACAATGTGTTAATGATGCAGATTAAACTTAAAAATGTGTGGTGAGAATTTTTTTTCTAGAGAGCTAGTTGTTGAATATTTATAAGCACAACACCATACAGCCCAGATTATCCTCAAACACACCTCCTGATGGCTGCTTTGTTTTCTGAGCTTTTATCTGAGCTGTCCCAACAAAATATTCTGGTCTCATGAGTCTTTCTTCTACCAGGTTTGACATGGCAGAGTGAATATAAGGGAAGTTTATGCTTATAGCTGGCAGAAGAGACTATCAGTGGGGCCCCACAGCTCCTCTTTTGTATTCAGGTAGTACGTGAATACAAAAAACATGACTTCACTGTTTCTATTATTAGGGCATGGGGTATAGACATAATTGGAATTCTTGATGTTGGAGTGACAGAGAGATGTAGACTTCCAGAACAGTTGGTTTCCAGAGCAAAGGTTTAGCTTCTGTAGTAGTTTCAAAAGAGCAAAATCAGGAGGGAATATGATTAATGGAGGTAGGTAATTGATTTGTGTCGCTGACATGACTTACCCAAATATCTCCTCTGATTTCAGGGGAGGCTAGAAGAGAAAGTTCCTTTGATGGAACTCTTGCCATTGAAACTACATGATCTGGCAGGATTGGTTATGTGTATGTGTCACCTATTATACTATGCTTGATTAAATTAAAGCCTTTTGCAAGGATTTGTGATATCTGACTCAAAAATTAGGGAGCTAGAGGCAGCATGGTACATACTGGAAAGATTTGGAGTCAGAGGACTAGGTTTGAATCTAAGGGCTGCCATTATTAGTTGCATGATCTTAGGCAAATAATTGGTCTTCCTGAAGTCTCAGTTTCCTCATTTGTAAAATGAGAAGGTCAGACTAGAAGAATTTCAATGCCACTTGAGCTGTGGATTCATAATTCCATGAGTCAACACGGACCTGAAATGTAACTCACTGCTACCCTAAGCAGGTGGTCTACACTGCACCCATAATATAAGGTCCGTTAGTTTCCTTCTCATTTTTATGAACTCCTTAAGCTTATTTGAAAATACAGCTGGATGAGTTGGAAAAAAAATCTGTTCCTAATATGGTTTGATTCTATAGGTTTTTTTGTGGCTTTGATGGTAATCAACAAAAAAACCAATCTCCATCTCTCTGCTCCAGGAATTTTTTTTTTTTTTTTTTTTTTTTACTTTCCTCCATGCCTGGAAGACCCTCCACCTCAACTTTGAATATTGACTTCTTGGCTTTCTTTTAAGTCCCAACTAAAATCCCCTCTTTTACTAGAAGTCTTTCCTAACCCCTCTTAATTCTAATGCCTTCTTATTTATCCTGTATTTAGCTTGCTTTATATACATTCATTTACATGCTGTTTCTACCATTAGATTGTAAGCTCCTAGAGGGTAGGGACTCCTTTTTATCTCTTTTTGTATCTCTAGCACTTAGCATTGTGCCCCTGGAACATAGTAGGCACTTAATATTTATTGATTGATATTTATAGATTATCAATCCTGAATTTAAAATTATTCCATATATTTTCTGGAATTCAACTAATCCCTACTCTGCGATTTACAGAATTTCTTGAATGAAAGTATCCTGAATAGAGAAGTGGGTGACTATTAATACAAAATGTTGCATATGCTATTAGATTCAGTCACTTCGTTGGTGGTTTTGCTTGACTGTTTTTCTCCTTTGCTGCAAAAGAGTTTTCTTTGTTACAAGTCAGAGTGCGTGTGCAGTATTGAGAAATGACTAGGATGTAGAAAACAAAAGGAATCAATAAAAGTCTTTTTTTTTTTTAGGTCTGTTTTTTCCCTCTTTTTTTCTTTCAACATCTGCCTAGAACAGAGTTAGTTATGGAGAGGCAGAGCAAACCCTCAGTCCTAGGGTGAGATGTCATAGTGAAAAGAGAAAATAGGTTTAAAAATGTTGCTTCATGGTACAAAATGATGCTAAATAACAGACTTTTTCCTCAACTTAAAGATTCTAGTAATCTAGAGTATAATGCAGAAAAATTCCTAACTGCAAAAACTGTTTTTGAGGCAGCAGGTCAGCTTCCTTCAGGTTTTATTGTTGAGGGTAAGAAAAAAACCCACATGCTTCAAATATATTTCTGGAATTGGTTCCTTTTACCACCCAAACTCCAGGGGACTTTATAGATTTCTCTTCCTTTATATTTTTTTGTCTTCTTATAAATGCCACATTCTTCTTATAAATGCCACATTTGAAAAGTCCTAGTCAGAGAAGAAAAATGTGGCTTGACTTTTTCTATTATTAGGGCATGGGGTATAGATATGATTGGGATTCTTGACATTGGAGTTACAGAGAGATGAAGATTTCCAGAACAGTTGGTTTCCAGAACAAAGATTTAACTTCTGAAGTAGCCTCAAAAGAGCAAAATTAGGAAGGAATATGATTAGTGGAGCTGTGTATTTTACACACTCATAGAAATTAGAAACAAACTGATTCAAACATATATGGACTGATTTAAACTAAAAAAGTGGGGGGGGCTATTCCCAGTAAATCAGTGATCAAAGGATATGAACATGCAATTCTCGAAAAAATAAGAATAAAAAAGCAAGCTTGTCCACAACCATATAAAAATGCTCCAAATCTCTAATAATAAGAAAAATGCAGATTAAAGTAGCTCTGAAGTTCTGCCTCATACCCACAAGATAGTCAAACGTGACAATGAAAAGTTGTAGGAAAGACACACTAATTCTGGTGTTGGGGGTGGGGGTTTGGTGAAAATGATACCAAAGAAAAAGAAAGAAAAGAACATCAATGAAGTGTTTAAAAGAATGCCCAGAAAGGAACAGAAGGAAGTTTAAAGGAAGACACAGCTTTGTAGTTGAGATTCTTGATCTCATATGCAATCATCTTTTTAAAAAAATGTTCTTCGTATATATAAATGTTTATATTTGTTACTATTTGTAAGTTCAGAGTAAAAAATTACTGAGGCCCTCCCTCAGATGAGATAGGACATTTCCTATCATATTCCCGGGCTGTATACTGTTGAGCTTCAAGGTTGCTATCCCAAATATGTCCTTCTCAGTTATATTTCTGACCTTTCAATACACATTTTCCTGTTCTTTCAGGTCTTTGTCATACTGTTCATTACTATGCATTCACTGCATATAATTTTTCTTTCTGATGTTCTTCATGTCTATTTCTCATCTGTTTTCATTGATTTTTCTTTTTACATGTTTTTAATCAATTAATTAGTCAGTAAACATTTACTAAGTGTCTATCATGTGCCAGGTACTATGCTAAGCTAAGGTGGTTGTTGTATTTGCTCCCTTATTTTAAGTTGGTTTATGACACTTTAATAAAGGTCTCTGGATATGGGGGTACCATGCTCAGACTGTGGTCTTGGTATGGTTAAGTTTTTCTTGTTGAGATAATGACGCCCCCCTCTGACCTATACCTTTTAAGCTTTGTCCTTAAATATTTGTCTTGGAATCTCTGACAAAACAATGTCTCAGGGTCTATGGACTGTTGGACATGTTCCCTTAACACCAGGGAGACTTGAGGAACTTGTCAAGTGTTCCTTTGGCTCTCTGGTGTCAGCAGTGAAACTTTAAAAGAGAACCAGAATTCACATGTGATCATAGCTAGATTGTCTCCAGGCGGATTGATCTTTAACTCTAATTTGTGTGGACCTGGGGACAGAACATAGGGCACTCTAGAAGTGTTTAGAATTAGCAGTGAGGAATCTTGGAACTTTATTTGAAAGAGTATAGAACTGATGGCAGATTACATTCAGATGGTAGGATTGAGAAGAACATATATTACCCCAAACCAGCATTGTCTCCAATGCATAGGGAGGAATACTACATTAACTACCCTTGAATTGAAAGGGGCTGAATGTGTTAAAAGAGGAGGTGGTATTTCTTCGGTAGAAATCTGCTTATTTTGTAGTTGACAAAACTTTCTGAAATTTCTGAAATTTGTGTTTAGGGACTCAAAATTTAAATGTGTGTCACTACTCATATACCTTTTTCCTTTCTGCAGAAGAGGAGGTATTTTCATTTAAATATAGCCCTGGAAAAATGCGAGGAAACCAATATAAGAAGATGATGACCAAAGAAGAGTTGGAGGAAGAACAAAGGTAAGTTGTACTTCTCAACCTGTGTGTTAAAGACCCTTTTCAGCTCTTCATGTAGTTTTGAGTATATTCAAGTGTCTGCCATATTCTCTCAGGACCCAAGAGGGACACATACCTGCGAATCCTCTGGAAGATTCCCTTCCCCTACTTACCTGTTCTTATATTGCAGGGATTCTTTTCTATTAGCTAATCTTTTCAGTTCTAACAATATTTATCCCTGAGAATTCCCTGAGCATCTTTGCAAAAAAGAGCTTCCTTTATTGTGCTAGGAGGCAACCTGAGAGGCAGGGCCAAGCTCATGGTATAGGTGAGAGTGTCTCTGCTTCTGGGGAGATTAGAAAACTGGGCCCATTCCTACCTCTCCCACTTCCAAAGCTTGTCGTTTCTGAATAGGTAAATCCAAGTAGCTCACATACATGGGGAGCTCATAACAAAACAAATTTATCACTTCAGTGCAGTGCAGTGCAGGATTCTTCTAGCTCAAATCAGATTATCAGAATGTGCTCCTTCCTTCCTATCCTTACTCCACAAATCCCTCTCCCTCCTTGCCCAGTGCTAGAAGTGTAATCTTTTGTTCTGGACTGGGGCACTCAGAGGGCAGCTGCAGCTACTCGGTTTTCCATTCCAGTTATTGTCCCACCCGTTGGCTGAGGACCCACTGGGTACTTAGAATCATTTTGTTATTTCATTTACTCCTGCCAGGGTAGCTGTGGAGAATATTCACAGGATTTGGGAAACAATGAGAAAAACCAGGGAGGACAGTGACAGAGAAATGACTGTTTTAAAAACTCTTCAAATTTTCAACATGTGTACAGATTCTGTTATTCTACACTGGTGGCCCCTTTCTGTCCTCTTGGTTCATTTGGTAAAGTCAGGAGCTGCATGGTAGCTGCATAGATTCTTGGAGTCGCTAGCATCCCACAGGTGTTTGATACTAACTCCTTCCCTACCATGAACACAAGTGGGATGGAAGATTGTGTGGCTGCAATAATGCAAAACTAGGTAACTGTTTTTATTGTTTGTTAGGATGCTCTTCTTATCCACTGACCCCTCCAACCTTTCAAGTATCAGAAAATATTGTCAATAATAAACATAGTATCAGGGGTCTACCGTAGCCTTTAGCTCTCTAGATTCCCCTTAGCAGCTCTTTCAAACTACTACCAGTATATGTTTCTCCGTAGAACAAAATAATAAACACATCCAGAAGAGCAGCACCCCAAGTACCCCAGTCCCCTCATTAGGCCACCTTTGCTAGTTAAAACTACCCTCTGCTTTCCCTCAGGTCTTAACCATGCTGCTTCTTTGGTCTTATCAGGTTTACTCCCTTTATATTACAGGATTGAGCTGACCTCTGACTTCACTTGCCTGTAGCAAGTACGTTAGTTCTGCACCACAAATACTCTCCCAAGTATTTTTGGTAAGGATACTGACTTCTTAGACTAGTGGTGCTTCACTCATTGTCTGTGAATGTGTTACACAAAACTGACATGGTCTGTCTTCCCCCACTTCCTTCATAACTAATTAACAAACTATCTTCCATCTGAACCTCATTTCATCCTTCATGAACCTCAAGAGTCATAAGCAAAAACAGAATATATAATCCCCTTGACAGCTGTGAATGTCCATGGGCTGCATGATGACTCAGGTGTTTATTCAGTCTTAATGGGACAGCTGGATGGAGGAGCTAGTCTGTTCTGGGACTGTTGTTTCCTAGAGAAAACAAGAAGAATCTGAAAGGCAAATGGGATCATTTCACCATCACCGTATTTTATAGGTATACCTTGCATGGTGTACACGCATGCTGGTGAATCCTGTCATGTGTGTGCACACCTGCACCCACTAGGGAGATGGTCCTTTTGTATTGTTAGTTTTTTACTTTAATCCCTATGACAGCTGCATCTTACTAAAAAGCACCCACGGAGAACATTGCCAGTACAGTGTACTGCAGAAAATGTACATTGCAACAGAGGCAAATTTTAGTTCTCATTTCTTCTGTAGGAGATAAGGCAGAGTTGGTCCCTCTCTTCCTGTAGATCAGAAAGAGGAGTGGCTGGATTAAAGATATCAGAGGATCATATGATTTAGCATCAGGAGGAGCCTTAGAGATCATTTAGTCCAATTCCCTCATTTTATATGACAACAACATTGCCTAAGAGGCTGGCTGAGCTCTAAATGATTTTTCTACTATAATCAATTTATTGTAGATTGAGGTTTGGAAAATAAAGTAATCTGATGACCAGGTAACAGGAAAACCCGAATTAGGATTTTAGTAGAAACCTGGTCTTTGGGCCAGTGATAAACTGTGGGCTTATATAAGAGGGCAGAGTACCTTGGTTGCTTTCAGAAAGATCACATCATTTGCACTTTCAAAGATTCTTTTCTTCCAGTCACTCAAAGTCTTGTTACCATAATTCTAGTCTCTCCTTGGCAGGATTGGAGACTTGGGTACTTACTCATCGTGTTCTCCCTTGTGTATGTTGAACAGTTTTCCTCTATTTTCAGTCTGCCCTCAACACCATCACTTCCTATGATTATAAGGAAAGTGATTAGTAGATCAAGTCCATCAATCATTGTCTAAAATGAACTAGTGAGGACACACACACACACATACACACACACACACACACACACACACACGAACACATTTCCATTACTGCCATCCTGATCAGCATGAACCTCATGTTTTTTTTGTTTGCTTTTTGGTGAGGCAATCGGGGGTAAGTAACTTGCCCATGGTCACACAGCTAGTGAGTATCAAGTGTCTGAGGCCAGATTTGAACTCAGGTCCTCCTGACTCCCTGGTGGGAGCTCTATCCACTGTGCCACTGAGCTGCCCCTGAACCTCATGTCTATGTCTTTTTGTCTATAATGTATGTTTTTCCTTTTCCCTTCCTTCCCTGTGTGTGAGTAATGAAGGTGACTTTACTCCTGATGCTTCTTTGATTCCACATTACTCTCACTTTTCCTTCACAACTTGGGGATACAGAGACTAATAAGTTTGGCTTTTGTCTTTCCATCTTCTACAATATGATGGTTTTGTTGGGAGTGTAGACATCACTGCTGCTATTAGTCAATTAGTAAGCCTTTATTATGGTTCTACTATGTACCAGGTACTGTGCTAGGCATTGGGAATGCAGGTACCAAAAGTCAAAGTCCATACTCAGAGAGCTTACATTGCAATTATTCTGTTGTTTTCAGTCTAGTCTGACTCTTCGTGACCCTCCAGCTCATTTTACAGATGAGGAGATTGAGGCAAACAAGGTTAAGTGACTTGCCCAGTGTTACACAGCTAGTAAACGTCTGATGATTTGAACCAGCACTCTACCCACTGTACCACCTAACTTCCCGTATATAAGTGATACAGCATAAATATAAGGAGAATAAATGCAAAGTAGTTAAATCAAGGGATTTGGGGAGGGGAAGGTACTAGCAGCTGGGAGATTAGGAAAAGCTTATTGTAGGAAATGAGAGGATCGCTGAAGTGAGAGCAGCAGCTGATGGCAATCATTCTGTGCCTTGAGGCCTGCCTGTGCCAGAAGTACTTGCATTGCAAGGTTCAGGAGCAAAAGCAGCATCTTTTGAAAGAGATAAGGCAAGAGTCCACGATAGCCCTTGATGAGAATCCACTGATCCCTACTGAGCTCTGCAGGGAGCCCTTGATCCTGGAAGGGGTGCCAGGATGATGAGTACCTCTGTACAGACATGGGAAAGCCTAGAATCACGATCCCCGTACCTCAAGACCCCAGCTCTCGGTTCAAGACGTTTGCTTTTGAGCTGAAGCTGCTATTTCCTGATGATTCCGTCAATGAGCCAGTGACAACATAAAACAGGTACTCTGGTTTATGTCTGCAAACACTAGAGCTGATGAATGAGCGACACCACTTGGCCTTATTGTGAGCCACCTGGCCTCAGTGCGTATTACACTCTGTGTAGCAGTGCTGCGGCATGATATCTCTGACCTGGACACAGCCTCAGAGGCCCTGCCTTACCTTATCCTCCATGGTCTTTCTTCCTGAGTAGCTAACAGCAAATTTCAAATATTCTCCAATTCCCTTTCCATGTAAGGATGACAAGCAACCATGTCATCACCTTTGCCAATCAGACATTTTTTTGGCATCACATATACCAGAAGCTAGATTTTTTTTTTTTTTTTTTGCTTTTTGGCGAGGCAATCAGGGTTAAGTGACTTGCCCAGGGTCACATAGCTAGTAAGTGTCAAGTGTCTGAGGCCGGTTTTGAACTCAGGCCCTCCTGACTATAAGGCCAGAGCTCTATCCACTGTACCACCCAGCTGCCCTCAGAAGCTAGATTATTATACAGTGGAGCTGATGTAAGTGGGGCCCAGATTTTAGATGAAGTTGCACATGATCCACTTGGGCATGCTGGAAGCCACAGCAGACATGCCTCCCCCACTTATTGAGAAGGCAGGAAATGTGATATTAATTATACCTGTAAAACATTTCCACATTATCTATGTTGCAGGAAAAAAAGCAAGAAAAATTTAAAAAACTGAAAAAAAATAATGCTTCAGTGTGCACTCAGACTTCATCAGTTCTCTCTCTGGAGGCAGATAACATTTTTCATCATGGGTCATCATTTTGTCTTAGATCACTGTATTAATCAAAATAGCTAAATCATTCACAGTTGATCATTGTACAATATTGCTGTGTACAGTGTTCTCTTGGTTCTGTTCACTTCACTTTGCATGAGTTCATATAAGTCTTCCCAGGTGTTTCTGAAACCATCCTAATCATCCTTCATAATCATATACCACAACTTGTTCAGCCATTCCCCAATTGATTGGCATCCTTCAATTTTCAGTTCTTTGCCACCGCAAAAAGAGCTGCAATAAATATTTTTGTACATGTAAGTTCTTAGAAAGAGATATTGTAAAGGTAGAAAGAGCGAGATTTAACTATTGATTTAATAAGTGGTATGAGGAAGAATGAGGAGTTAAAGATAATGCCAAGGTTAGGAACTTAATAGACTGGAAAACGGAAGTG